CCTTTTTGAGGTACTCACTGCTCTTACTAATCATCCCTCAACGCCCTTACAACTGTCTCCAATATGGCTAGCGCTTGAAGTTCATGGTGCATTCTGGAACGCGGCCTTATTTGGCGAGGAAACTTCTGCCATTGTGTTGTTCCCTTTCGACCTTTGGAACTGAATTCTGGGACACTCAGGTCATTTCCTGAGTATTAAGCCATGCTTAGGCTCTGTCTACCTTCCTTTAGCCTCTCAGAAGAAAAGGCTAGAGAAGTCACTCCATTACTGCCCTTTTTCGCAATGAAAGTGTCGTAAACCGATCAATATTGTCCAGGAAGAGTGTCCAAGTCTAGGTATGAAATAATCAGCAGTATAATTTATTGTCAGATGGCGACGAAGAGTCCAGCCACGCCTTTCGGTTGTGGTCGTCGAAACTTGTCAATTGTCGACTGCCGGCCGCATTTAATATTTCAGCATGTAATCAAGCGCATGACCAATACAGCGAGCAATGTGGAGCACGAGAGACGAACGGACAGCTGGAAAATTCTCTACTCTTATTGTTTTGCATTCATAAATAAGTCAACGGCAGTCATTAACTACTCAACAAGTGCATTACATATAGCACCTGGGCAATTGGCAGTTGCCATGCCGCTTAGGGCATTAATTGATTTATTGATAAGCGGGGAAACCGTTCGGGTACCCAGATAGGGGGTTTCGGAGGGAATCCATAACCCTTGGAAAGCTATCTACAGTCTCACATCGGACGCATCCGTCAGCCGGGTACCTGTAGTGCGTTTAGCGAACGACGCTGATTGGTCGATTGGAGGCCGAAGGGGCGGGCAACTGCACCGCCCGCTAACGAGCCGCACTTGCTATGCAGGAACCCCAACGGCTCTACCCGTCCCTGAATAGTCTTCAGGGACAACTTGGTGGATCCATTGGACAGACCTCTGGTGGTCGTTATTCACCATCAACTGCTTACAGAAATCGAATGCAACCGGTTAGTAGCGATTTTCGTTGAATTTGAAACCTTCCAGCCTCACCATTTTGGCAGTTTCTTCACTATCCGTTCTCCAGCACCTTTCAAAATTTATCATTTTAGCAATTTCAAGCCGTTCGGGCTCTCAACCCCGCAGAACTGGCGCTCGTCTGGTCCAGACCTTTTAAATGAACCCACAATAGTGTATCTTCGCCTATGCATTATTCAAATTCATTGCGTATTTTACGGCGTCGTTGCATTAAAAATTGATTCCGCTCATAAATTTACAAGCGACGAAAACAACACTTGATACTTAATTAATAACATTAGTCAATTATTCACCAATACTGCATCACAAATGTGAATTGCCAAGCCAGAGTAGCCATTCGGCTAAGCCACAGGGTGGCCGTGCAACTGTAAAGGGGTACTCGAGGAGCTACATGGTTGAGCCATGCCCCGGACCGCTGTAATACTTTAAACTTCCCTAATGTCTTGCAGCTCTTAGCTGATAGAGTTTATAT